TGGCTCAACAAGTATTTTGCTTATAATTGTACTTACTACACGGATTCTGTGTCCAATAGCCTTAGCAGGAAGGTTGCTTCGGAATTTAGCACGAACCATTCCACTGTTTCCATGAGCACGAGTTACCTTTCCCCAGATTACTCTGGTTTTGTTCGGTCTGCCTCCAGGAGTCACTGCATTGCTCTGTGCTTTGTACACGTAGCACGTCTTCTGTCTAGATAGAATTCCGTTTCACCTCGAGCATAAGCACCTTCAGTTTTAAGAAGAGCCCTGTGCTCCCTCTGGTTCCGGAGACCCACCTATAGCTGGCAAAATGGCCTTGGACCACAGCCTCCCAGACATTTTTGTCCTTATAGAAGTCCTGTTCTCAGCAGGCCCCCAAAGGCCAGCAGCAGGAGTTCCGCTACTAGTAAGATTTTTTAATTACTAGAAATGAAACCTCTAGGAGGGGAGATGACATCAGGTTGAAAGCAGGACACTCAAGAAGGATACTTGTTGGGCATTAGATTTTGTGTTTACCTCCCTCTGCCCCCTGGCTGTGGTCTGTCTCCTTTCCATTGGCAGACACACATCACACACCATGTTTACTTCTATGTTCTTAAGTTTGTCAGGCTGACCTAATGTGAAAACAAAACTAAGTCAAGAAAGTTTAGGTGAGTATCCTTATGATCTTAGGGATGAGGGATTTTTAAAATGTAACACAGCCCTAGCCAGTTTGGCTCAGTGGGTAGAGCGTCGGCCTGTTGACTAAAGGGTCCCAGGTTCGATTTCGGCCAAGGGCACATGCACGGGTTGCGGACTCGATTCCTCCCAATGGGGGACGTGTAGGAGGCAGCCAATCAATGATTCTCTTTCATCGTTGTTTCTATGTCTCTACCTCTCTCCCTTCCTCTCTGAAATCTATCTATCTATATATCTCTCCAATGTGTGTGTGTGTGGGTGTGTGTATACATATATATTTTTTTAATGGAACACAAAATCTTATAATTTTACTACACAATATTAAAATTTGTGTGTGGTCAATTCTGTTATAATGCAACATGAATTCCTAAAAATCACCATACTATGTAAAATCATGCAGTAAAAACCACAGAGCTTTTGTGGGGGTGTCATAATACTAAAAAAACTAGAGGTGACAAAAAAAGATAAAGTAAATAAAAATAGAAACCTAATAAAACTAAGAAGTGTATAAATACCACAATAAAAATAGAACTTTACCTTGGAAAAGAGATAAGGTTTGCTTATGGAAGTAGGCATTGGAAGGCTACAGCTTATGGCTTATTGTGAACTGATGGGAGAAGGGTTACCTGAAGTCACATGGAAAGTTTTGACCTTTGTGACAGAAAGCAGATGGTTATGGGTAAGAACATATGCAGTGACCTCCAAGCTGGTGCATATTTGAGTGAGTGCATGTGTGCATTTTGTGTATTCCCATGGGGCTCATTTCAGCTGGGTACCGTTTTCTGCATTTTCTAGTGTCTCTCATGCATAAGTAAACACAAATTCATGTTATGCTCAAATTACTTCCTTAATATATTCAATGCATTGGGACAAATTTGCATTTTCAAAATAGGAGGCTAAGCAAAACTGACAGTCAAAAAAACACTATGAATAAATTGTACTACCTAATACTAAGTGCTGGGCACCAAGCTGTACATTCTATGTGAATTCTCTCTCAACAACCCCATGCGTTAGGGATAATTGTTAGCCACATTTTATAGGTGAGAAAACTACAGCTCAGAGAGGAAAAACTTGCCCCAAGTTGCCAGGCTAGGACATGGTAACTCTTAATGATGATTCTATTCTTTTTCCTAAACAAATTAAAAGTAAAGTGTGGCGAATATATAAGAAAGAGCAAATATCCATAATATATGGAATTATTTTTCAAATCAATAAATAGAGACAGTTCAATAAAAAAAAATGGTCTGGATCAGGCAGTTTACAAAGGAAGACATACAAATAGCCAATAAAATTGGTAGGGGAGACATTCAGCCTCACTGGTACTCACTCATACAGATCAAAACAATTAGATGTCCTTTCCCCCACTGTCTGATGGACAACAGTAGATGAGGGAGATGCTGGCAGGAGCAGGGACTGCTGTAACCTTGCCAAAGCACACATACCTGCCCTTTGATTCAGCCATCTAATGCTAGACATTTATCCAATAAAATAATCAGATTAAGTGGGGAAAGACTTTTGTTCAAACACCCATCCGTCATTACTAAGTGGTTAAATCTAGTGCATCAGTGCAATCCAATGCAATACTTTGGAACTCTCAAAACATGATATAACAATGAATATGCTCTATGCTTTAGGGTACCAAATAGCATTTTCGGTGTGTTCCTATTTTGCAAAACCATTCGCATACATGTTTATGGTGTGTGCGTAAGCAAGCCCTGTATAGGAAAAGGCTGACGGACACATTGTGAAGACAGTGTTGTCCCACTTGGGGCTTCAGACTCGTCATTCCTGACCAGAATTAATCTGACCATGTTTCAGGTTACCTCATTTTCAGGTAGATGCCACTAGGCTGAGCAGGGCAAAGGATTTGTGTTACTTCCAGATCACAAGTTCCATAAAGTGCATTTGAACTTGGAGTCTCTTTGGATGACTGGTTTCAGTGCACAGGTGACAACTGGAGTCTCTAATTTTGATTACCAGCTTTTAAGGAGTCCAAAACCCAGATATAGTTTCTTGGGCCTGGTCCACTTTATTAGCAACTTAACCCTTAGTTTAAGAAGCAGCTACAGCTCAGTGGGTGTGGCTCAGTGGTTGAAAGTCAACCCCTGAACCAGGAGGTCATGGTTTGATTCCTGGTTAGAGTACATGCCCCCTTTGCAGGCTCTGTATCTACTCGGGGGTGTGCAGGAGGCGGCAGATCAGTGATTCTCTCATCATTGATAATTCCATCTCTCTCCCTCTCCCTCTCTGAAATCAACAAAAACATTTTTTTTAAAAAAAGCAAAGAAAAAAAGCAGCTGAAAACAGGAATGTGGCTGGGGGAGGGAAGTGGTAGCTGCCAGGAGTGGCCCACCCAGCTTCAAGCCCTGGGGCCCCAGCTCATCAGGCAGGAACAGGAACTTCATTTTCAAAGCTCCATAAACCCTGAGCCTCCTCCCAGGCCTGCCTTTTCTAGGTTTCATGGCTCTCTGTGGGAATGAGAGCCTGTGTCATCAGAGCAGGGAACAGCAAGGAGCCACTAGGATGCTCCCACGGGGGTGGGGGTAGCTCGGAGTTCCAGAGCAAAGCTAAGCTTGGGGTGGGCCTCCTGCGCATGTTTCTCCTGGCCTCATTCTGTTTGGGGGACCCCCCCTTCTTTTCACTGCAAACCAGATGGGGTCCCAGGGAGGCCTGTGCACCCTGCAGGAGCAGTGGCTCAAGAGCTTCTTCCTGTTACTTGTTCCTTCAGATGCTGGATCTTAACGGTCCCTCTGCGCCAATAAGCCCAGTGCCCATCTGCCTGGCTGGAGAGAACGCACTGGAGCTTGACAAGTGTGGGTTGAAAGGATTTATTTTTTTAATTTAAGTATTCCATCTGCCTACACATTCTTACCCTGCTCTGCGAACTAAGCTTCGGGACCTCTGCGAGTTGCTTCATCACGCCAATCGTGTCTTCCCCACTATAGGTTTTGGAGAGCACTCAAGGGGATGATGTAAGTGGAGCAAGTGCCTGTGTAGTGGATGCTCTAGAACAGAGCATCACAGAGCAAGGTTCTGAGCTCCAAAGCCTGAGGACAGTGACTACCCCTTTCTGCCCATGTCCCAGCTCTAAAGTGGAACCAGCAATATCCTCCAAAAATAAGCCTCACCCAGCACGGAGGTGGTTCCTGATGGGCCTGATACCATCAGGAAGGAGGGAAGAAAGAGCCTGGAGGTGGGGTCAGGAGAGAACATCAAACAGATAAAGCTGTCCCTGGGGGGCTGTCTTGGCCCAGGTGATACCCACCTGAGAGAGAGTGGAGGGTTTCCTGACCCCTTTCTGCTCTGATCTTGGAAATGCCTTTGAACTTTCATGC